AATTGGAAAAACTCCCTTATATACTATCCTCCGGGGTGGTGTGTAAAAAGGAGGTGTGACACAATGAAATACATGAAAATACAACGTGATACGTTGAAAATAATATATTAACAGAAATCTTATTCTTCGTCGCGATAAATTGAATACCAGGGCTTCTAATTTGATTGAAAAGTTACGGATGACGCCGTTAACACATGGAAAGGTTTCAATGGATTCCCATTGATGACACCATTGAAGGGGTTACTGGGAATCTTTTTGATGCTTACTTGAAACCCTATTTCCTTGAAGCATATCGACCAGTGAGGAAGGGTGATCTATTTCTCGTAAGAGGAGGAATGCGAAGTGTAGAGTTCAAGGTTACTTCCATCAAACGATTCTCTAATTCCAGGAACACAACTAGGTCTTACCACCAAGGGAGAGCTAGGGTTTCTCGTTGGATTGAGATTGAGCATTGTGTTTTCAGGGAATGGGGGGAAGAGAATGGCATGTATCAAAGTAGAGGGAGAAAGAAAATAGTGTAACTGAATAGCGTATTTAGTGGCTTAGGGGTAGGAGGTAACCAAAATTAGATATTTTGCTATAGACATTAAAAGGTATTTATAGAATATAATTTTTTTATATGGTATTTATTTAAAATAAATAAGGTGTAAGCCTTTGCTATATGAGGTAAAAAAATCCCTTAAAATAAGCCAATCCAAACACCCTCCAAGTCTAATTCTATCACCGCCAATTGGCGGAAAGTCTGGTTATGTCAGACCTAAATCCAGTCCAACTCCTAAATGTAGAATATATCAACCCCAAACTAAATAAGCGAAACACTATTTTCTTGGGCTGAACATCCAACTTTCATATCCATTAGTACATTATTTGTTGAAGAATTAACCCAAATGGCCATCCATCAAATCGCTTAAATTAAAAATTACCGGTGGAGGTATAATATATGCATAATTTACATAGAGCACGTATATAATTACGTAATCAATGTATAAATTATATATATAACTATAAAAAGTAAAAAATGAATATGACCGACTATTTGTGTAAAGATCCCTTATTTGTTAAAAAGATTGATATTTGGCCCTAAACCAATTTGATGATGAGGGGGTAATGCTAAAAATATTTGTTTGTAATCCCTTCTATGAAAGGCCAAGGTTCTACTAATTTTAGAGAGAAAATATGTTCTTATAGTAGAATAATGTCGGTTGAGCGTAAGAGCTTGATCGATTCCATTATTAAAGTTATTACATTGAATTTATAATTAATATCTATTTGAAATTTAATGATTTTCACTCATAAAAACACATACAAATACATATATATTTTAAATTTCATGTTAGAAATGATGAGTTTAGTTGAATCCACTAAATCGATGCTCCACCCGCCTCACATTTGGCACAAATGAACGTAATTGTAAATCTGACATTTTTCACTATATTCTTATGATTGAGCATTCTGCTTATTCAATTCGGTTATTACATGTCAGTTGACTACTGTTTTCCCTAATTACTAGTCATTGGCCGGCAGTATAAACGTTCAAAAATTATAATTAAAACTAATTAACATCTGAAAATGATTAAGAATATTATTGTTTTTTATGAATAATAATGCAGACACAACCATACGAATAAACTTTTTCTGTACCAAGAGAAATATGATTATTAGAGTTCATGTGCTCATGAGTCATAACGACGACGATTACTATTATTTTTTGTATCTTCTGGGTATTTTTTTTCCCGACAAAAGCAAAATAAATTCACAGACCAAAATTATATTTATGTTTAACTTTGTTATAGAGCCTCCATAGCACGTGTTTCAGGTTCGAACAGCAAGAATATAAAAAGTAGTTAGAGTAATGCACATGATAGTACTTTGACTAAGAAATAAAGGATTATAATCTCGGGATTAAATTCGAAATTAATTTATTCTACGATTTAATAGAATTTTTACTTTCGGAATTAAAAATTCAGGGACTATCTATACTACAAAGGTGGTATCATTTTTATCCCATATTACGGGTGGGATAAAAAAAGGGCAGCTCGGTGCACTAAGTTCCTCTATGCGCGGGTTTCGAGGAAGGGCCGGACCACAAGAGACGATCTATTGCGGGTGGAATAACAATTTCGAAATTATTAGTCACGAGATAAAACACCAAAATAACAAACAAAAAATCCTAGTTTTCGAGGTTCTTTTAACAATGTTCTTCAAATATCCAAAGTTAAATCTAGAATGAAAAGTTTATCCCAACTTATCTAATATAAAACTAAAAACACGTTTGATATTATACCAGTATATCTCTTCTTTTTTTTTTTTGGTCCAATAAATCAAATATCTATCAATAAAAATACATCTACTAAATAATTCTGCAACTACTAATCCCGGTATTATAATTAATCTCATCATTATTAATCTCACGATAATTGTTTCCCCAACCAAACCACCTCTAACAAGTGCAACTTGTGAAATAATGAAGCAAAAGCCAATTCACGTTTGATTCCTCAGCGTACTGCATTATAGATTGCCATGAAAAAGTTATACAACTTGCAAATTAAAGAAGAAATGATTGCTTAATTATTATGTGAATTCAGCAATAGATTTTATTATGTGTAGAAACTAATGAATGATGAATGAGACAGTTCAAGTCTCAATCATATGCGAGGATATTTGCGACTTTATTCCCCCAATTATTACTAAATTTGGTACTAATGCTATATATCTGCCTAAACATATTTAACTTAAATAACAGAGTGTTATTGATCCCTTTATTACCAGTTTTTTTACAAATATGATGTTTTTTCAACTTAGAATATAGAGTAAAGTAGCCTGAAACTTTACTTCACCTTTAAGGACAAGTATGATCATATGGTTTAAGAATTCAATAAAAAAAATGGTTAAAAAGGAAACTATTATTAAGTTGTAAGTAACTGAGGAGTAAAAAAGATTTACAATTTTATTAATTGAGCAGTTAAAATTGATAATTATGTAAGAACCAAAAGCACAATTATCCCTGGAAAACCCATGTTCAGGTTGCTTTGTTTCATTAGCACACTTCCCCTTTTGCTTTCTTCTCTAGATTATTTTAGGGCAAAATACAAAATTGATCGATTGGCTGAAACTAATTATATTAGCTAGTCAGAAAGTATATATATATATATATATATATATATATATATATATATATATATATATATATATAATTTTGTATATAATACATTTATATATATATTTTATTGACTATTATTTTTGTGGAAGCGACTAAAAGTACGCATTTCTCGATATATTTCTGTAGCAGATGAATAATCCAGTTCGCATGTTAGACCGCGTTTATTAATATACTATGCCAGCAGGTTCTTTTTTATCCTGTCTGGAAATGCCTCTTTCAATTTCATACGTGATCCACATTATGGTTTATGGACCACTTGATTTCTACTCAATAATTATTATTTTCTTTTATCGCACGACTACTAAATAATTCCAGCTTTATGCTTTATTGATATTAAATCCAAAAAAGTGACCGACAAAATAAACTTACTACGTATTCATGAAATTTTTATTCAGGAAATGAAGACCAAATATAACGCCAATTTCTTGCCTTTGTGTATTTCAAAATGGCTATCGAACATAAGGAAAAAAACATTACTCCCTCAATTTCAATTTACGTGGTAAGACATGGATTACGAGGGTCGAAGTTCTTAATTTTGACAGTAAATTTAAACATATTTTTTAAAGTTTCTATAAAATATAAATTTACATATTAAAAATCTACATAAAAAATACAACAAGTTATAATGACTTATAATTCAAAATATTAATAAAATATGATATATACAAAAATTCTTTGATTTCTCAAATAGTAATGTTGCCATAAAATTAAATGTAGGAATTACTCCATCCGTCTTAAATTATTTGTCGTAATTTCTAAAATTAATTGTTTCAAATTATTTGTCATTTTAAAAATTCTAGACACATGATTTTTTTGGGATGCGGGAAGTCTATTACCCTATTTGGCCAAGCTTCTCCAATCTCAAAAATACTTTAAAAAAAAAAAAAAGAAATAATGTTTTTTTGCCAAATTTGAAGTGTTTGGCCAGGCTTTTGGAAGAAAAAAAATGCTTTTGAATAGAAGCAAAAGAAGAAAAAAGTAGCTTCTTTCCAAACTGTTTCTCACCAAAAGTATTTTTAAAAAAAGCACTTCTCAAAAAAAGTTGAGAGGCCGTTTGGATTAGCTGATTGTAAATAGCCGATAAGTTTTAAGTGTTGAAAAGCTTTTCTAAGTGGTGCAACTAATTTTTAAAATAAACATTTACGTGTTTGGATAGAAGTGTTGAAACTGATAATAAGCAGTTGATGTGTTTGATTAAAAAGTACTGATAAGTTATTCTTTTGTTAAAATGACTAAAATACCATAGATTTTTTTTCAAAAAATGATAAATGAAAAATTTCTTTGTAAAGAAAAGAATTAACAACGAATATGGAATGAAGAGAAAGTCAAGAAATTTATTTTGGGAAAAGTATTTTGTGAATTAGAAAATATTATTAGGATAAACTAGTAAAAATTTTGGTCAAACTAGAAGTGCTTATAAGCTGAAAAGTCATAAGTTTGGGGTGACCAGCTTATGACTTATGACTGATTTTAGCTTATAAGCACTTGGCTTATAAGCACTTTGGGTGTTTACCAAACGCGTATATAAGCTAAAAGGTGCTTATAAGCCAATTTGACCAGCTTATAAAGCTTAGCCAAACAACCTTTTGATTTTTCCAGCTTGATCAAACGGGCTATATGAATTGTTTTCATGTCTAGAAAAAGTAAAAAATTAAGAAAAGGTTGAATAACATTGCCCTTTCTTTCTCTCTATTTTTTTTGGTGAGAATTAAAGTTCGTATAATCGTATTGTTCAAAAGTCGTGTAAAACAAACAGGCAATGACACGTAAGATGACAAAACAAAATGGCAATGACACGTAAGAGCTAAAGAAATTAAACTCAATCAAATTCTCAGAGAGATGAAATTAATAAGTTGTAGACTTTATATCACCTGTGTAAAGTTTACTTTCCTATAAAATCTGTACAACTAAAACTGTACTCTAGTACTATTCAATCCTCAGGAAGCATTTTATGCCTTTTCCTTTTCCCCAATTAAATTATACAAAGTTTAAAACCGAAAAAAAAAACAAGGAAAAAGATTAGAGGAAAATTTACAATATCTATGCATTATCTCAATTTTCTTCCTCTACTGCGTGTATACATTGAGCAATGAAACCCTAGCGTTAATTAAACTCCTAAATACTTTCTGCCCACAAATTTCAATCCCACCAATGCAATCTTCCAATTCATGCATTTTTTTAGAAACCATCTTCACCTCTTCACTTTCCATTTTCTTTCTCAACAAACTCATTTTTGAAAACTCTTCAATCCCTTCATCCAATTTCACTTTCTTCGTTTTCTTTGCCAACCAAGAACAAGATGATTTTGTCGATGACATTGACACAGAAAGCCCATTAAAAAGCGCAACTGAAACTAGTACAGTCACTTCTATAACGTCTTTCAATACTTCTACTAGCTCTGTATCTTCTATAGATTGTTGTGGTAGGACAAGGACATATTTTCCTATACAATATTGCATGTTGGACACGAGTTTGTTCATTTCTTTTGCTAATTTTCTTAGAGCTTTGACGTAGGAAGCAATCTTGGATTCATCTTTACGTCTTAAAGCAACTTGTGCAGCTGAATGCTCTTCCTTGAGGGTGAGAATTAATGTTTGGAAGATTCCATAGACGTCGACGAAGCCAAGGAAATCTTCTAGAAGCTTCTCGACAAGTTCGGAGTGGTTATGGAGAGACTCACGGGTTTGAGGAAGTTGGAGGAGATCGTCGAGGGATTCGTGAACGATTTTGAGTTGTGTTAAGCCATCACAGAGCCATGCAGAGGTGCGGGTTTCGGGCTTGGAAGCCCATGTTTTGAGCTCGTTGAGCCCATCTTTGAGCTGAGCAATCAAAGGATGGGATCGATCACATGGAAGACTAGTGGATCGAACGTGAAAAGCTTTTTTGTTTGGCTTGTTTGAATGGTTTGGATAGTTGAAAGAAAGAGATCTTCGAAAACCAGCAACCATTCTTGGATTCATAATTTACTCGGTTAGAAAATGGAATAGTTAGAAAGAAAAAACTGAGAATTTATGAAGTTAAGTGAATTGTGATGAGGAGAGTTTATATAAAGGGAGACAACGCGGAAAAGAAACGCACGAGGGGGAGATAGAAAATTAATGTGGGAGGCAAAAGTTGAAGGGGACTGGATCCGCGAATAAATCCAGCTGTTTGGGGAAAAATTGAAGATGAAATTAAAAGCAAAATCCCGTTATTAATGGCCAAAGTGAGCGTGGGATGATCTGTATTTTGGTTTTATTGTTCCGGTAGAGGTTAGACACCACGTGCACTTGACACTCTGGCTTTTTTTAAATTAAATTTGTTACTTAACGGTTGGTAGAGCTAATAACTCAAATTAATTCCTTGTATTACATCGTAATTTATTTGACAATCTAGCCTCTTTTACGCGGTTATATATTGACTAGTCGGGGTTTGAAACCCATGAGTTCAAGATTTTAGTTTTTGTTAATGGAATTTAAATTAATAATTTTGTATATATTAAATGAATTTTTTAAAATAAATACTAAGTTTGGATCAAAATTATTGAAATTGGCGAACTTGAGCTATAGCTTCCCCCTAACTGTAGGTTGAGCTAAGAAGTCAAATTCATTTCCAGACTTGATTCTTATATTTGGCCAGGCTAGAAGTTTATTACTAAACTACTCCTCCGTTCATATTTACTTGTCCACTTTAGATTTTTCACACCCCTTAAGAATTTAATAATAATTGACGTATATATTTTATCATATAACCTTTAATAATGATAGCATTTCAAAAAATCTTGGGAAATAATTTTGAAAATAGGTAATTAACGATAAGGGTAAAACAAGAAAAAAATTTATCTTTCTCTTGATTTGCTAATATAGACAAGTAAAAGTGAGAAGGGGAGTCTAGACGTAACTGGTAAAGTTGCTGCCATGTGACCAGGAGGTCACGACTTCGAGCCGTGGAAACAACCTCTTGCAGAAATGCAGGGTAAGACTGCCCTTTAGACAAGTATAAATAAAAATATATTTTTAGCATAATGAACAAGAGTACGGAGGGAGTACATCTATAAAACGATTTCAAATTCAAAATAAATGGGTCATGAATAAGTGAATGGTCTATGCTCTATGGTAGTAATGATGTAACTTTGCGCACTAGCGAAAATGGGTGTGGTGGAATGATAATTTTTTTTTAGTATTTCTAATTAGAGATTTTGAATTCAAGCTATAAGATTGATAATACATTTTTTTAGGGAACACTAAAACCTCTTGTGCGAACTATCTGCGGTTAAAATTCGAATAAATTAGTCAAGTCAGTGAATTTTGTTGCACCAAAAAAAAAAAAGTTAGTGAATTTTGAACCACGGGTACTTGAAGGAAAAAAGAAAAAGAAAAATTAATAGCTAGGCTTCTCGGTTTTAATCAATTCAATGCAAGTTGAGCTGTGTGACCGCAGTGTAATAAAGACCTTCAATTCAGTGGTAGTTTGGTCGAAAAACTAGTCATCCCATAATTAATTATTCCGAAATTAGTTATTTTGCGATTAGTTATTCCACTCTTCCATAGGGATAAAAAGTACTACAATCTCCAGATAACTAATTTCGGGATTAGTTATACCACGACTTTATCACAATCAAACGTGGAATAAACTTATCTTAGATTTAATCACCCAATTAATTATCTCTTATCTCTCGTACCAAATGAGCCCTTAGGTTCCATTAAGACTCACGCGCAAGATCAGGAACCCTAAATCTCCCAAATCCTCACAGTACAGACTACAGAGTACAGAGCATCAATTTGTGCAAGCTAAGATACGGGTAAAAATAAAAAAGAAGATATTTTCTGAATTGAATTGTGGGTATTTTCTCAAGAAATAAATAAAAGTAATTTGATAAATTATACGTTATGCTTAATGTTTTCTTATTGGACTGTTAAAACTTTACAGAAAGACACTTAAAATGGAATAGGAGAGCATAGCGGTCCCTTGATATCTATAACTGAAAGGATCAGAAAATTTTCATTTATAGGTAAGAAGCAGTTTTCCTTATTTTCTTTTAGTATCATTTTTTCATGGATGTTTTCGGGGGCGGAGGCACAAGTCGCCCTACGGGTACGATCGAACCCAGTAACTTTTGTTCAAACAGTATATTTGGTATTTTGAATTCATGAAATATCTATAAATATTAAATCTAGAACTCAATCATTAACATTTAAAGTCGTAATCCAAAAATCCAGAACTCATAAAGTTAAAATCCTCCTTTCGCCCCTGCCTGTTATCTTTCAACAGACACCACGTCACTTTGTCCTTTGGGTTTAGATAAAGGTAAAACGTCACGTGTATATATGGCTAAAATAGAAGGAAAATAATACAGTGAGGTTGAAAAAATGGCTTATTAGTATTTGAAGTTTCCACATCCCTGGCTCCCTGCCATCTGCAGGTTTAGAGGAATGCCCCTTCACTTATTTCAGCCGCCAGATTTACATCTTTGTTGCTGGATTTCTTGAATAAATGGTTTAGGGTGCAAAAGAATTAGAGTTAATTAGGACAACCTGTAATACCAGAACTACTACAGTTTAGCCACAGATATATGAGAGATAGAGAACTAAACAAAGGTATGCTAATTTATTGGACCATATATTAGTTGGTAAGTGATATATTGGACCATATAAGCTCTTTACTCCAACAACAACTTTGAAAAAAAGAAGTTATTAATTCTTTTTTGATATTTGAAAAAATCAAGTATTGTGAACCACAAAAAAGGCAAAAAAATTAATTAAAGTGGACCGGAGGGAGTCTTATTTTCCCCAAAAATCGACTACACTTTTCTAAGATTTTGGTGACTAAGTGGGTGTTTGGACATAAGAATTGTAAAACTCCAAGAAAAATGTAAAAAAAATAAATTTCAAGTAAAAATGATATTTGAAAATTAGAGTTGTGTTTGGACATGAATATAATTTTGAGTTGTTTTTTGAAGTTTTGTGAGTAATCTGAGGAAAATTTTGAAAAAAATAGCTTTTTGGAGTTTTTTAAAGTTTTGAAAAATTCCAAAATTCATCTTCAAGTGAAAATTGGAATTTTTTGGCTAAATTAAACACTGATTTTAAAAAAAAATATTCCAAAAAAAAAAAAAATCTCATGTCCAAACGGGCTCTAAAATGTTACAACGTATTCCCTCCGTTCACTTTTACTTGACATGTATACCAAAGATAAATTTTTATTTTTACTTGTCACTTTACGCATATCAAGAGAAGATAATTTTTTTTCCTGTTATACCCACAGTATTTATTAGTCATATCAAATCATTTTCTCAAATCCAATAAATTATGCATCAATTAATATGGTGCACTTTATTTATTATCTCTTAAAGGGCGTGAAAAGTTAAACGTGCCAAGTAAAAGTGAACGGAGGGAGTACATATATAGCAGCTAGAACTGAATTCATAACATCTTACTCTCTCCGGTCCAAAATAAGTGATTTTTTGGCCCTTTTTTTGTGGTCCAAAATAACCTATTTTTTCAGATTTCAAGAATGAATTAATTATTTTTTCCTACATTGCCCTTGGAGTAAATAGTGTTGGAGTATGCGTTAGTAATGTTTATGTGAAGAGATAACAAAGGTTAATATGGTCAATTTCATTGCTAATTAATGCTAAAAGGTGAATTTCTTTTAATCTGTGTGAAAACAGCTAAAAAATCACTTATTTTGGACCGGAGGGAGTATATGTAAAACACATGAAAGCTACGAGCTTCTTGACCTCGAAACGTGTTACACTATAGACCTAGCTCATCTACTCTGTATTTTGACTGACTAAAACTAATGGTCGAGTGGATTAATTCCTCTTTAATGAAGTTGAGTACTCAGATAATTAGTTTTAGTAAGAAGCAAATGCTGGGGAACTAAGCTGGCAGTGTTTGCTATTGAGCCTACATCTCTTTAATGCACCAGCTGTATCACCTTGTAACAACCAAATTAAGGGTTTCATTTTTAATTTTCTCCTACTGTAACATTTGCCCATCTTCAAATAATATCTACCAACTACCCACATATAATAATTCCGGAAAAATCCAATAAGGTATTAGAAATATATGATACAGTAATTAGTCTTTTCTATGAAAAGAAAGCTTCCTTTATTTTCTAGAGAAAATAATTTCTTAAAGATTATTTAAAGTTATCGTAATTAAAGAAAAACTGGTTGGACTTCTCGTATGTAATACTATCATTCTTTTGGGACGAGAGAATATAATCAAATGGCTCAGAATTAATTGAAGTATATTACATAATAATTGTAACTTCGTGGTATGTAACAACTTAGGTGCAATGTGTTAATTCGAAAATTCCTCTCTTATTACCAAAAAAATCCGATCCTTCAAGGTCCATCACACCATAAAAGTATAAAAACAAGGGAAAAAATATAGCTCTTTCTTCCATTCTCCGTACGTAGTTATATAGAAAAACTATATATAAAGCACTATAGATTTTGTTTAGCAAGTTGCAAGTAGATGGCATATAACTAAAGAGGGATTAAAGAATCGATAAAGGATGTAGTGGAGTGGTAAGTACGTACCCTTCATCCTTGATCAGAAGTCTTGGGTTTGAGTCCTATGTATGAAGTCGTTTTTGTTAGAGAACGTTTTACTTCAAGTATGAGATTTTCCAGCGCGAATGCGAATTTAGTCGGCCCCCAAAGCAAATATCGAACATCGGCGAGAAAACCAAAAATAGAGGAATTAAAGGGAATGGTTTGTAGTAACTGAAAAGCCACGTCGTAATTGAACCTACCGACCTTGTAACATGTTTGGTGGTTGTTATGTATGCGTTATGCCCAAATAATTAATTTGCTGGCACGTGAGAACTATTTGGTCCACCTCAACATTTTCTTTTGTCTAAATAAGGTACTCTCTCTGTTTCAAATTAAATGAGTTAGTTTGACTCGATACAGAGTTTAAGGAAAAAAAGAAAGACTTTTGAAATTTGTGGTCTTAAAAGCTTAAGGGGTAAAGCTTTGTGGAGCCATGACTTTTGTGTGGTTATAAAATATTCTCATTAGGGGTAAAATGGGTAAAATGAGGAG